CCTACTGCCTGCCCAGCCCGGCGCCCTCCCTGCTCTGCAGCCTGGCGCAGCCCCCCGAGGCGCCCTTCGTCTACTTCAAGCCAGCGCCGGGCTTCTTCGGCGCGGGCGGCGGCGGGCCGGAGCCCGGGGGCGCGGGGACGCCGCCGGGAGGAGCCGCCGCGCAGCCCTTGCCCCCCTCGCCGCCCCCGACGCTTCTGGATGAGGTGGAGCTGCTGGACCTGGACAGCTTAGCCGCCTGGCGGGACGAGGAGGAGTACACCTGGTATTGCCGAGCTCCGCTCCTTCCCCTAAGAACCTTGCCTCGGAGGCCCCCGGGGACGATGGGCGGGTTGTCCCAAGTAGTGGGGCGACCTTGTATTTCGCCCGGGGATTCCCGCGGCCCCCGGACCTGGTGGCGTTATCAGGCGCCCGGTAGGGCGATGAGCTGAGGCTTTTCACGGGGCGGAAACCTGTTTTCTCCTAGCTCTGGCTGAGCTGGCCGGGGATGAACTGGTCCCCTGCATGTGCCTTGTGGTCTGCTCTTTGCTGACCTTACTGGATCCTCCTTAGCATTAACTGCAGAATCCATGCCATCTTGTTTTGTTGCTTATTCTGCTTTTTTCCCAGTCATTTTTTGGGAGGAGGAGGGGGTTGGGTAGGGCTTGGTCTCTGTCTGCTACTGGTGCTGCTCTTTCCTTCCAAACCAGCACCGCACAGGATTTGCTTACTGTTCCGCCTCCCGTGCGCATCCGAAACCGCCTAGTGATGGATCGCTCCTTAGAGATTTGTTCTTGCAGTTGGAGTTTTGCAGTCGTATGTTTTCATTCGCTGCGTTTCCATTGATAGCTTCTCGTTTCAGAGGCTGACTTGCTTTTTTTTCTTTTTTTTTTTTCTTCCGAATGTGCTGACCTCACTGGCTTTCCTGTTTTCCTATCAAGTAATGGTGTAAAAAACGAGGGTCTTTCAGAAATGGAGTGAGCTATTTGAAGGTACTCTACTATCTAGGAACTAAGGCGCTTTCTTTAATTTTAAAATTAAACTGGAACTTGAAGAAAGATGAGATTAGAGAAACTTTTTAAGTTGGTTATCAGAAAATTTTAGACTGCGTTTATTCATTTGAAATCTGAATAGCTGTTTTCATTAATGAGGACTTTTTGGGGGAGTATCTCATTTCTTTTTTTTTTTTTTTGCCCCCTGCTACCTTGCTCATGGAATAATAGTCACTTAATGTTGGACTTCTTTTGGTGGGATTGTCCATTTTCCTCAGTTAGCAGAAGTAGTGGAATATGGTCAGATAAGTAGAAGCTTCAGACAGGGTGAAAGTAGAATTTAGGTGCATGTGGGGAAAATTAAGAGTGCTCAATCACATCTTCACCGCAGTGGCATGAAGGATTGTCGAAGTCCTTCTTTTATCTTTTTATTTTAGGGTCTTTTATTTAGGACCCTTTATATTTTTTTAGGATGGGTTTTCCTCACCTTCTTTGTATTCCTCTTGTTGCATAACTGGAACGGAGAGAATGGGAGATGAAGAACCGTAAGAGTTTCCTATTGGGAAGTAGTGTTCTTTTTCCCTTACATTCTTTTAGGTGAGAACTCTAACTGTAAAGTGCATTAACTAATTGGTTTGAGTCTAAGAATCAAAGTATATGGAGTTACAATCAGCTTTTCAAAGGCATACTCACCGTCTTCCTTAGTATTTTGCTTTTTGACAGCTCTCTAGGTAGCTCAAGTTGTAAAAGTCAAACAACTTGCTACTCTCTGGAACGTTAAGCCATTCTTTAGAAGCTACACTTTTAGTTTTGTAAAGCCCAGGCTGGATTGTAATCTCAGGCTTAGCCTGAATATGTACTGGAAAATACTCCCATGCTGTTTCTTACATCATCCCTAGTAACTAAAAAACCCTTATGCCACTTTCAGACTATTTTAGATTGATTTAATTCCTACTTGGCCTTCTCCTAAGACATCTACTTAAATTGTGGAAAGAAACTTGTTTTTGTTTTTGATGAGGTGAATAGAGGACCATTCCCATGCTTTAAAAAGATTAGCATTTTTTTTCTTTATTATGATACTGTTATTACTATTTTATAAGTGTGTTAGATTGGTGATAGTACATAAATAGCTAATATAATTTCAATATTTTCTTCTTTTGAATAGACTTCTACCATATTTAATTATTCAACTATTGCTAGTATTTTGATATCTGGACTTTCCTTTTGTAGTTTATTTTTTGTCAAAGTAACATTGAAGTGACTTTTTAAAATCACCCACTTGGATTAGCAAATTATCCTTTCATATGGGTTGAAACATGCTAAATTGTAGCAGATTCTATTAATTTCACTCATCCAGTATACAGGTGAATACATCATTTCAGCGCCTTGGTGCTTTACAAATGTTTCTATAGACAAATGACACACTATTTTTAGAGTGTCTTCTTCTGAGCAAATCTAGGATTAGAATTTCCAGGTGGAAAAACAGGGAAGGGTCATTAATTTTAGTTGGATGGACTTAAAAATTAAAAAAAAAAAATCAATTGATTCACTGAAAACTTTTTTCAGAACATTTTATACAGTAAGATAATTTTGTATTGCAGTATTTCCCTTTTTGATGAAAAAATAATCAACAGTATTTTAATTTTTAAAGTTTAACACTTGCTAATGCTTTCAGAGCATTCTGAGGTTGATTCATCGCTGTGAATCATACATGTCACTGCCCTGGGGTCTCACAAATAGTTGGAGTGCTTTTCATTTGAATTCCCTGCTAATGTTTGCAGGATGGCAACTTATTTTTATTTTCTGTGTTTATTAAGAAACAACTGGAGTGGATGTACAATACTTGATTATTCTTAAAATATCTAAAAATAAATGTTTTCCATTTTCATAGTAACAAAACAAAACAAAACATAGAAGTGGGTATAAGAGTCATAAGATTAGTTCTGCACTTAGTTCCCTAAATCTCTACCACTCTTTAGTTAGCTGTGTTAACACTCTGTAAATCCTTCAAGACTGTCCTCTATACATATGAAAACACAATTATATTCATCAATACACGTCAAATTCTTCACACTTTTATTGAACATATCTCAGTGGTGTCACTAGGATTGGTGTCACCCAGTGTGGCAACTCATGGTGTCTCCTATTCCCCCATGCTAATTACCGCAATATTCTAGCTAAAACACCAGAAAATTTGACAAAATCACCTACTATAAGAGCACCGGCAGCAATGAAAACAACGCACGCTGGTAGCCCTTGTAGCACGTGCAGATGAAACCACGTGATCTGAAGTGTCCTTGTAATTGGGTAATGATGACAGCTCTGACCTGAGTGCATTAGAAGATTCAAAAAGTCAATTAGCATAGCGTTTTAGTCTTGTAGGTATATTGGTACATGTAAGCTGGGCTTAGGAAGAAAATTTTGTTGTTGTAACTGACTACAGGGATATTTTTATAAAAAATAAAAGTCCTGCTGAAGCACTGCACAAAAATTTTATAGACAGTCATTTTGGTGTCACCCCCTCTGATAGTGTCACCTGATGGAGTTCACACGCCAGTCTCCCCCTGGTGACACCACTGCCATATCTTGGACATCTTTGCTTGTCTGTATATGTAGCCCCACCTCTCCCTGTGATAATTGCATCATTGTTAAAGTAGCAGTATTTAGGATTAAGTTACTGTTAAGTGTATCACCTACAGTTTTTCATGCATTTGTACTATGATTTCATCCTAATGGGTTTAACAAAATTGATATTTGGTAATTTATTTAGAGTAGTACTTTCTGCTAAAATGTCATATCTTCAGGAAAGAAAGTTCACAAATGTAGATTAATCATTGAACATGTTAGAAGTTCTTTCATGTGAGTCTTTCTTTTCTAATAAAACCTTAGAATAACTATTTGCCTTTTATTAACAACTTTGGCTCAAGAATTACGTGTACAAGGCAAATAATAAATTGTAGAACCAGTATTTGCTTGATAATAAGAAGCAGGTCATTAGTTGATGAAAAATCAATTAGATTTCTTAGGTCTTTTGTTTTGTTTTTTTTCTGAACAATTATTTAACCTATAAACAATATTTTCTATTTATTAAAAAGAAAACTTTGATGTAAGCAGAATGATGTGGTCTGCCTTTTATTTTGATGAAAAACTTTAAAGCAAAACAATTACCTTATTCAAATATTTATTGTACTTGGATTTAAAGTAGAAAATTAAAGTTGATGATGGTTTCAGAACCTTAATTCCTATTAAGTCCAATTATTTTGGTCCCATAATGAAACTTCACAACCTGCTATACTGATTCCTCAATTATCTTACTACTCATCTGGCAGTGTTAGCTCTCCAGAAGACCACAGGCTGGAAAATAAAGGGGGGAAATCAGAGTGTCAGAAGCAAATGAAAAACTCCAAAGAATGAAATCTTGCTGCACACACGGGGCATGGCATGACTGGGTGATTTGCCAGTCTACCTGGAAAGAATGTCATGAAGATCCAGGTCTCTGTCTCAGTGTCACTGGACTGAGAAGCACCAAGGTACAAGGAGAAAGATTGGTGCGAAGTGGCAATAGAAGCAGTAAGTTGTTAACTGCATACTAGACATGTCTGACCTATTTCAGCTCCCTTATTTCGTAGTTGAAGGACTGAAGCTCGGAAATGAAATGACTTGCGTAAGCTCCTCCAGTTAGTTGCTGGCAGAGCTAAGACTAAAACTCAAGATTATTTACAGATTATTATCAGAAATAGTTACCATTGGTACCCCCCTTCCCCAGGCTAGATTGTGACCCACTTAAAAAAAAGAAAAACCCATTGCCATTGAGTTGATTCCGACTCATAGTGACCCTATGGGACAGAGTAGAACTGCCCCATGGTGTTTCCAAGGAGCGGTTAGTGGATTCGAATTGCCGACCATTTGGTTAACAGTTGAGCTCTTAACCACTGTGCCACCAGGACTCCAAAAAAAAAAAAAGAAATGCCTGCCAGCTGATGCAAAAGACAGCCATATAAGGAGGCATTTGTTTTGGTGGAGTGGCAGTTAGCAGAAAATTTGAGACCTACGGCGAGTGTAAACAGTTAAGTGCCCAACTCCTAGCCAAAAGATTGGTGGTTTGAACCTACCCAGAGGCACCTCAGAAGACAGGCCTGGAGATTTGCTTCCGAAAGGTCACAGCCTTGGGAACCCTCTGGAGCAGTTCTACTCTGCACACATGGAATCGCTATAAGTTAGAATCGACTTGATGGCAACTAATAACGACAACACGTATAGGGGATTTGGCAGGGATTATTTTAAACTTGCCCAA